GCCCGCAGAGCGGTTCCATGCCGGAGGCGAGGCCGGAGAGGACGGAATATCCGGTGATGTTCGTGAATCCCACGGCCAATGCGCCGCCGGCTAGTTCAAGGCTTCCGAGACGGCCCATGGACACGACCGAGGTCATGTTCTTGAGGTAGTTCAATAGGCCCATTGCCGTGATCGGAAAACTTATGTCTGATAGTCTCTTCATCTCCTCCACCACCTGATGGAACCCATTTTTAAAAAAAGACTTCTTTTAAACAAAAATTGAATTCTTTTTTAGTATATATATATATATATATCATAATGAATATATAATAATTATTACCTCATGCATTGTTGTGGTGTGCCTGTGGTTTTGTAGAGGATTTATAGCATGTAAGAATTCTTCTGTTGTTGTTGTTGTCGTTGAAGCTACCATTGTGTTTGTGTCGTTTGTGTTTTGAGTGAGAGATATGAACACTACTGAGAAGGTTATTTATAAGGTCCTTTTTCTTGTTTGGTATGTTGAAGGTGGTGGGCTTAACGCCGAAAAAGTTTATTTTTTTATTTTATTTTTATTGTTTGTTGTTCGATAAATTTCAACATAGACATTATAGTAAAAAGTCCAAGATTTAATTAAATATAGAAGTATCACCAAGAATAAACGAAAAAATAAGAAGAAATTCTGTTGCCTAATGGTAAGGGTTAATAACTTTTATTATATATATATATATACAAATTTTAGAAAATAAGATAGCACAAATAACAGGATTAAAATGAGACCTTTTTTTAATATTATGAATTTGATTTTTTTTTCCAAAATCTTCTCTTTAGAATATTATATTGCCCACGATCGAATACTTGCATATATATCTAGAATAACTCGACATAATTAAAGTTGCAGACCTATAGTTGTAGGTGGTGTGTCCATATAGCTATCCACGTGCAAATGAAAGCTTACGAAAAATAAAAATAAAAATAAATAAATGAATAGAACTTTTTTTTTTGTGGAGCCTAAACTTAGACGCACGTGGGACAAAATCACAACATCCTACAACAAGTGTTCAAACCATCGCTTTGCACTAAAAAGATAGTGTAAGATTTGTAATGTTTTTACTTAAACAAAACATATATGCAACAAGATCCTAAGCACATAGTTCAATTGGATACGAGGAGATTATTTTTCTTCTCAAAATTTAATTTCCGAACATAAAATAACTCTATCGTAATTTAAATTTGTATGTGGAATCCCAAGATTGATTTAATCGGATATGTTTTCGTCTAAAATAGAAAAATAAATTATTTATATTGACACAAATATATATATAAAAAAGGTTTTAGGAACAAATTTCAAAAGTATCTGTTCTTTTTCAAACTGAATCTCATTAAATATATTTTAAATTATAAAGATCTTTGTGAATATTTATCATCATATCACCTTTTACACATGGATTGTGAGCAATACGCACATGTATTATAGGTGTATATATAGGTATAGAAGTATAAGAGCAGGAAAGAAATTGTGTAAAGCGTGGGGAATTAAATAGAAGGAACCGACACCAAGTTGTGTCCGATGCTAACGCAGAGTCGTCACTTTCCCAATACAATGGAAACATATCCTCACTCTTTCTTCACTCATATCCTTGCTATTTGTTTCGATTTCCCGCACGTGCGTAATCTTGGCTGCCATTTATTTGGCACGTGTGTATAGATCCCCACACACACAGATACACGTACTTGTCGATACATATATATATATGACACATAACTAACCTAGCTTTCCGTATATATATGTATCGCTGTCTGTGTAAAAGCACGTGTCTTTTGTTGGCAATCGATCATCATCATAAGATACCTTTGCCCATCTCACGTTCCATCAAAAGAAGAAGAAAAAAATTACTTGTTATTTTTTTTATATATTTTAATTAGTTAGAAAATGTAACTTATTTTTGTAAGAAATAGTACATGACGTGTGCGAATAAGAGATTCTATGGAATCTTGAACAGATCCTTTCGTGCAATTTTTGTTTCTTTTGCCATCTCCAAAGATTTTCTCGTTAAACTATTTTGCAAGTGTTATTTTTTTTTACGAGAGTAAATAATTAAAATATAAATACTCTAAAATTAGAAGAAGCGTGTTTTGATCATTAACACGTTCTCGTCTTATTGCAACAATAATATACAATCTTAATTTTATTATCCATACATTTGAATAAAGCGAAATTAACTATTCATGAAGTATGTTTTGGAATATCGAATCAAATATATATTCCTTTGGAGGTAGTAATTAATTATTATCAATAAAAAATAATATTCGCAACAAAACGAAATTATATATATTACCCAAAATTTGAAGAAAAAAACGATGAGATATTAACGTGACACACTTAAATCCGCCGGAGATATGTTCATAAAAAAAAATTGAAAACAATGTGAATGGATCCTAGAGATTAATTTATAAGATAGCCGGTTAAATGTTTGGTATGACGTTTCCAAGGTCCGGTTTAGTTTAGGGTTTGTATTGGAATTTTATGAACATTAGTTTGACTTCTAATATTCATATCTGAGTTCAATAATTATTGCTTTCGAAATTAGCTCGAAGTGTGGAAATTACGTTTTATACAGAGATGCTGACTAAGTCAACTTGGCAGCTATCACTCTCGCAGCTTTTGTCGGCTTAATAAAATATCTTACCAAATCGGAAATTCATATTTTTTAAATATGCTATTAATAATTTTCATTATTACCAATTCTCGAACGTGCACTTGTCCGCCGAATCTTCTATACACCCATCTTCCTGTTCATTTTCAATTTCTTGTTATTTGCTTTAATTCTCAACCTCTTAAAAATTTAAATAAAATTAGAAAAAGCGGAATAGAGAAATTTTGACCAATAAACTTATATAAAAACTTCAACGACCTTAAATTAATATTCATAAGATGGCACGTACGGGAGCCTTTTCTCCGAACCGAAAACATTATATAATATTTGTCGCATATTTGATGAAACCGTGCATGTGGCTTAGTTGCACCAAACGGCTACATGCCGCGCACATATATATCTCCAATAACAACAACCGCTCCCGAAATATAATCGGCCCGTCGAGAAAATGCAATTTTCAATCCATTTGTTTTCTCTCACACACATATGGTTTAATCACGGCTTCATATGATATATATATAGGGTTCGTTTTAGTTAGTGGCTAATATATAAATTTCACTATAAATTATATATATATATATATATATATATACACACACACACACACTCTCTTATTGATAATGGTATTGATGTTCAATGGAATTATTCAATAAAGTCCATTGATAAAGCAAAATGCTGATATGGCTTTAAGATTTACATCTATACCTATCATAAGTTCATAACATCGTTACAAACCCTAATTTCAAATGCTTAGAGATACTATATTTTTTTATTATTTTTTTGTATTCGTCAATAAACAAGATTGGATCCTTTATAGTTGGATCGAAGATCAGTTAGGATTTAGGAATCTAGAAAAAAAAAATACTTGAATTAATTTAATTTGGAAAAAATAAAGAAATCAGAATCCATAAAGTAATTTGGTAATGGATCGATATCAGCTGGGTCCTAATATCATTTATAACCAATCATCTTGATAATATTATCTTAGTTAATCTGTCATATCGATCTTCGATGTGATCCCCAAGCCTATATCATGTGTTAAATCATATAGTATTAATATCTAAAAATAATAAACAAGTTTTGTATACGTACTAAATAAAACTACGGACGCTCTAAAAATAAATACATAGAATGCTATATACAGTAATTATTTTTTTACAGTAAGAATAATGAGTCTAACAAACAATATGATCTTCATAATCAACATTTACTTGTACCTAAATCAATTACAAAACCCCACCAATCCAAAAGAGTAAAAAAAAAATACATAGGAGAATTAAAACCTCTTCTTGAAAGAGAAACTTCCGCATGTTATATTAATAAATCAAACATTCACACGTAAATATGTGTATATACATCATTAATTCATTATAAAAAAAATATATGTGTATATACATACACATGCACCAATACACATTCGTGTGTGTTTGTGTGTATGTGTGTGAGTGTGAGAGAGAGAAACATGACACATCTCCAACTCCAAACACCCAAACCAACTCTCCATGCTCCACACTTTGGATCAGTCACGTGTCTCGGCTTTTATATATAAAAAATTACATATACACACACACATATGTTCTTGTGTCCTGATCTCATCAATCTCATCCTTACCAAAACGTCGTGTACGCACGTGCATGTTTGTCTCCTTACCCAGACACGTGTGTGTATATGTGTGTGTATATGATGCATTATCATGGATGATTGATGATTTTACTATGCGAAGCTAGACATCGACGTATGTGGCTTATTTGTTAGAACAAGGCACATGTTCATGTGACAGGTGATTTGAAAATGGACCCAAATTAATGTTTTTCATTATAGCTCATTTAAGTGATATTATTCTCTCTCTTGACTGAAATTAAATTGGAATGCAATCCGTCTATGTATTTTCACGTATACTAATATTGTAATTTAAGAATTGAATCAATGATATATGTTAAGTTTGAGAAGATATTCAATTTTATTTGAGCAAAATAATTTTAAAAAAAAATTAACTTAGTTGTGAAAACTTAAGTGTAGACACATGGATCGTGTGAAATTAGTACTGTTATTTTGTTTATTGTCTATTCTTAATAAAATTTATATTTACTAGTAAATAAACTTAAATTTTCAAAGTCCATATAAACATAATTTTATTTTTTTAATCTCATTAAACATTGAAATCGGTCCCACGTCACTTCCACTATGTATGAACAAAATGTTGAATGTGAATTTTATATGTACATGAACCGTTGGGCTTTATTTGGGCTTTTCGGCCATAAAATATGGCTTTTATTCATTTATTTGGGCTTCTGATCTTTATTTTATGGCCCGATAATGAGTTGGGCCTGATCAGGCTTTTAACCGGACCCTAAACCGTTGGTTTGGTTAGCTAGAAATCATATCGAATTTCATTATTAAAGTCTAAACCGGACCAAGGAAATTGTTACATACACATGCACCAATACACATTCGTGTGTGTTTGTGTGTATGTGTGTGAGTGTGAGAGAGAGAAACATGACACATCTCCAACTCCAAACACCCAAACCAACTCTCCATGCTCCACACTTTGGATCAGTCACGTGTCTCGGCTTTTATATATAAAAAATTACATATACACACACACATATGTTCTTGTGTCCTGATCTCATCAATCTCATCCTTACCAAAACGTCGTGTACGCACGTGCATGTTTGTCTCCTTACCCAGACACGTGTGTGTATATGTGTGTGTATATGATGCATTATCATGGATGATTGATGATTTTACTATGCGAAGCTAGACATCGACGTATGTGGCTTATTTGTTAGAACAAGGCACATGTTCATGTGACAGGTGATTTGAA